ACAGTGCAGGGCCTCCAACTAGACACAGGAGAGGCAGCACAGAAGCCAGTAAAAATAATTCAATAGAGAACCACAATAGAAACAGAGAGGACAAGCACATGGTAAAATGGAGAACAAGTGGAACAGAGGTGGTAAAAGGTCCATAAAAGCAGAGGTAAAGCAAGTATAAATGAGCCACAAGAGGAAAATAATATACAGAGAAAAGCCAACAAGGGAAAGGGTGCACAAAAGTAGACAGGGATGAGGAAGTGGTACACATGAGGCCGAGTTTACAAAATGGTTAATTTAGCATTTTGCTGACATTATTTGCTTAGAACCCCCCAAAAAGACAGCAGCAGCCCATATTAATTATTTCTTATGTAATCTAGCCTAAGAAGGGTTCATTTTGAGTTGCCAAGGTCATTTATCCACAATCCATCAGTCAATCATATTTATTTTTTATTTATTTTTTTTCCTTATCTTTAGATATCTGTACAACTCACATTTGTAGCACTGAAAGGGTTCAAATCTCACAGCAACCAGACTTGTGTACACTAGATCCTTCTCACAGAGGAGCATTGGTACACAGTGCATGCACAGCAATTGTTGTGATCCACCAGTAATGCCTCTCATATAGATCAATCATTCTCTAGAAGAACTCACTTCCACTTTGAAGTGCAATTCAAAACAGGCAAGGCAGAAAAACCTCCCTGAGGTGTTACTAGGGGGCTTTAAAAGTGAAACTATATTTTAAGGATGAAGGGACATGCAGTTAACCCCTAAAACACTTTAGCCAGAATATGTGCTTTGTGTGACTGGATTGCCCCTTTAATTTCCTCATACTGCTTAGCTTGTTTATCATGTAAGCAGTGCTTTATGGACACAGCAAGGAATTCTAGGAGTTGTGGTTCTACTGTCAGCTTTTTACCACAGAACACAGACAGTTGAACTATGACTCCCAGAATTGAAAGCTATGACACACACACATAATTTATATATATATATATATATACACACACACACACACACACACACACACACACACACCAGTATGTATGGAGCAAAACTGGAAACCCTAAATATTGGGAGTAAGGTATAGAAAGGATGGAAGTATGGTTCAGAACTAATGCCTGTATTCACTAAAGACCAGAATGTAGAAAATTATAATCTGAATGTCACAATGTATGCTAAAATAGCCAAGCTGTGACCATAGCCAACCAAAAGATTTTTTTCTCCATCTATTTTAGCCAGATTTGTGACATTTGAGTTTCAAATTAAATTAATAAAGCATTCACTTAAAAACTACATGTTAATCAACAATAGAAATAAAATACAAAATTAACACTGCATTTCTAACTGCAAACCAACGCTCAAACATAATAGAATTATGTATTCACTACATTACTATTTCAACACACACTTTGTTTTTCAGTTCACCACAGTTTATGGTTTAATGCAATGGTTCTAAGAATTTTTTTTTTTTTTTTAATGGGGACTCAAGTTAAGTATATGGTCTTACCTCGGCAACCCATTCTTTACTTTTAAAATATATTTTTAATGACTTTTTCTTGTGTATAAAAACCATATAGATCACCTTCATTGCCCACTTTCCAGTGTCAAATGGTTCTCCATTGCATTGGGTATTGCATAGTAACCAATTTGTGATGTGTCTGTAGCAACCCTTGAAATAGAATGGGGACCCAGTTTGGGTCTGTACGTTTAGACTAAAGCGGGCAACGTTTATCTATAATGGAGTTGAAGATTTGTGTTCAGATGTTATTTTTTTTTGCCAGAGTTTTGCCATCCGTGTTTAAATTCACTCCAATCCTGTGATGTGATCCCTATGTGTGTATAGCTTACATTTTATGAATTTGTTTATTTTGGCAATGATGTGTTTAGTTTACATCCAGGTAGGCTTAATCTCAGTGTGACTGATTACCAAGATAATTATTCATGTTTCTTACACACAAGTGATTGTCACTGATTTGTGTGTGTTGCTTATGTTAGAATTACAGAACCAGATCAGTTACTTCCCTATTCTGACAGATTCCATATTATTGTTACATTGTCTGATTAGTTACACTGTGCAGGCTCCTCCACTGCAAACATGCGATGTTCACAGCCAGCATCTCCTGGAGGCATCATACCAGTTTTACAGTGAAGGATTAGGCAACTTCTGTCCTTACAGCACTGTTCTGCTGGCTGAACATGATGGGAGTTGTAGAGAGGGAGCCTGGCAGAGGTGCATGTAGCAGGTGTGGTGATGTTGGTTACTCACCGAAGATCCAGCCCAGAAGGGACACGAGCTCCTGATCTGAGGGGACTTGCTGAGTGACAGCGCCCCGAAGCTGAGAGCCACCGTACAGCAGCCCAGGATAAGCTGCAACAAGCCCAGGGAAAGCAAGGGTCTTCCGGGCATCATCATCATCATCGCGCCGGACCCAGCTCGGCGTCTGGAAGAGAGGGGAGGCGGAAGAGGGGGACACAGTCCGAGGGAGGCTGCACATCTAGGGGGCTGCAGACCCGCGCGGCTCCTGCGAGTCCTATGCTGAGATGGATCCCCTCCCGGGGAAGAGGCGGATGCTGCATTGGCCATGGAGGAAGACAACCCGGCCATGGGGCAGCAAGAGCCAGGGAGCAACACAGGCAGAGACATCACTGACAAGGGGGGGAGCAATGCAATGAGAAGAAGAAATCTGATCACACAGACACAGAACAGCCAAGTAGCTCTTTCCCTTGGTCTGGCCCACCCAGCACATGGGAGTTTAGTGCTTTGTATTAAACCATATTCACCTCTCTCCCTGACCCCAGGTCTCTGCTGCTCTCTGACTCCTGGGCACACTAACCCTACCCTCCATATACTGGCACACTAACTCTGGCTTCTGGGCACTATCCCCCTGCCCTCTGGCTCCTGGGCACACTCCCCCTACTTTCTGGCTCCTGAGCACACTATCCCTGCCCTCGGGCTCCTGGGCACACTATCCCTGACCTCTGGCTCCTGGGCACTCTCCCCTACCTTCTGGCTCCTGAGCACACTCCCCCTGGCTCCGGGGTACACTATCCCTACCCTTTGGCTTCTGGGCACACTCGACTCTCCCTGCCCTCTGAACCTTTACTTCTTTAAATGTTTACCTTCCATGGGGGGTTTTGTCTCATTTTTTTTTTTTTTTTCTTTCCCCTTTCTATCCCCACCCCCTTCTGCCGTCCAGTGTTGTTTCCAAAGGGTTATCCGAGCTGGAAGTTTTAAATAACTCCAATGGTTTGTAGGAGGGAGCAGCAGGCACAGGCTGAGCAGCATTTCACTTTCACATTTTTGGCAGTGGGACAAAGTGGGCGGAGGTTTGGAGGACAGCAGTTCCACTGCACAGGTTTATAATCCTTATTAAAAGAACCTTGTCAATTCGTGCTTATTTATGATCTGTTACCGAAAATACTTTGATTTAGGATTTACCAAATGTTCCTGGAAGTAATGTAATAATATAAAGATTTCCCCATAGTTATTTATTCACCATATACTACAGGACAATTTTCTTCACACTTGTGCTCAGAACCTCCATTTGTTTGTAATTGCATGAGATCCCTGCTTTGACACAGGTGGGGTGTAGGGGCAATCAGATAAATGTGTGCACCTGTAGGGATAGCCCCAAATTCAGGATTGTGGATGTGATGTGACCCATGAACATTCCGGGGACTACAGCAACTTCTGAATTAAGTTTTTATTGACCTGATACCATCGCCATCCATTTAGACACTCCCAGTACTTTGCTTCTTTTTCGATACTTTTGCTATTAGCTACTGTGCACACTGGTTCCCACCATGAACACCTCTCCACATAGACAGAGTAGTTTGCCTAATTGGGAATTGACTAGAAAATGTAACATTTTAGACCAGAATATAGAGCTGGATAGATAGTGGAGTTGGAGATATTTATTTTTAATTCCCAGTTTAAAGAATAACTCTAAGTTTGTATATATGGAGAGATGTGGGTAGCATCAGGACTAATGAAGGATAAATTCACTAAAAAAAAGAGTTGTAGTGAATGGAAAATTAGATGAAAATGCAAAATGTAGGCCAACACAGCCGAGGTGAAATAGTTCACTGTTTAGCTATTTTAATTGACTTTTGCAGTTTGTTTTTCACATCTACACAATTCACCATCTAGTGAATAAACCCTATAGCGTTAAGGCTGTACACCCCCTCTTTAGCTAAAAAAAAAAAAACACCCAAAAACAACATAAGAAGGGCATTCTATACAGAGAGCAAAGGTGTTTAATGGACAGAAAAGGCTATAAAATCAGTGTGCATTGCAGAATGCTGATTACATTCCTGAGCTAAATACTAATGAATCACATGATTCCACAGAACTTCTGGTCTATTTAGCACATGCCTTTGCTTCAAATGCATACAAACAACATATAACAAAAAATAGTGTGGTTTGCTAATGCTGGCTTCCATTGTCCTTTAAAGCGAACTTCACAACCAAATAATTGAGCAGGGCCTTCACCTCTTTCAATGTGTTAAATGAGAACTGTCATCTTAACACTATTTTTTAATATAATGATAATTTCATCAAGTTTTGAAAGAAAATGGATTCTTTATTAAACCAAGGAAATGTAAAATCAAAATGAGGAAAACTCATCCCTTCCTTTAGTATATATCAGGATCCTTCAGCCATTTACACACAGCTCTCTATGGTTTTCCCTGCTTCACTCTCTGCACATCAGACCAACTGTCCAATTCAAACATTGCCCGACCCAAGGTGTATGTGGCTGAAGGATCCTGTTATATACTAAAGGTAGAGATGAGTTTTTTACTCCAAGTATCATAACTAGTACAGTTCACTGTGGTGGTTATGGTGCGCCTGGCACGTCCACATGTTTAAATGTTTTAATGCTGGAGAGTGAGCTGCTTTAGAACTTCTGGCTCTCTGACATCAGTAGTGGAGGTGGGGCGAGGCGCCCGGTGGCCCCCTGCTAAAAAGTCAAACCGTATAAAAATGGTTTGACTAATAATGGGGACCTGGAGACCAGGTAACAGCTGGAACTATAACCTTTACAGTAAGCTGTAGTGCTTATGGTGCTTGGTGTGTTCTTTTAGAACCCTTCACCGAAAGATTGCACGTATTTCATTGGGTAGCGAAAGATTGCACGTCTTATTTCTTGTGAGATGACTAACTAGGTTTCGTATAATCCCTGTGTGTTCCGCACTCCTTTGGTCATCCGTTTGTGGTTACACTGGCGTATGGACTGTATTGGTGTGTCACCTGGATGTTTATTAATGTTTCGGTACAGGTTGGGTGAGGACGATGACTTTCAATTAGCTGTCTAGTTATGTGTGCGCTTGTGAGTTGTTGGTGCCAGCATCTATGATCTTCTACTGCCAACTCACCTATTGTCCTTATTTTGTTAATCCCTTTTCGAACGCTGTTTAATGTGTGCCTGTTTCTTTGAGGCTGCCTATTAATTGTTAATGGTGTGTGTTGTGTTCATTTTGTTTGTGGTTTCTCAGACTGTGTTCCGTACTGAGATGCTCTCCTAACTCCGTTTTGTGTGTCTCGTGTGGATCTTGTTCTCAGGACTCTAATGCCCGTGGTGGGGGGTAGTAAGTGTACTTTGCTTCTTCCCTTCTTTCCCTTACCTGTGATCTGTGTCTGTATAGAGTCCCATACAGTCCATGTTCCTGTCCATTATCCTGTGTTAGATTTGCTGTGTTTCCCTCCTTTTCACTTATTATTTTTGTTCGTGTCTTATGGCCTTAGTGTGTCCGCGTTTGATTGCGTGACTACTTGCTTCCTAATGGTTATCTAATATGGTTTATTGTGGGGGATAGTCCCCCATGGGTGTATAGCTCTTTCTAGCTTCTCTGATTTCCGTTTGGTCACACGCGGTGTTAGCGTTTCTATATCAGTTCGTGTCATAGTTGCGTTGTGTGATCCTCTTGTCTCTGTTCCTTCCAGCTTCAGTTGCCTCAGACATCTTTTTTATAGGGTGGTGTGTGTGGATCTGGTAGAGTGAATGAGAGGGGTGGATGGTTGGAGGGGGGGTGATGTTTGGATTGCTTTTACACATCCACATGGAATGTTCTGTATGTCAGGATTAAATTGCAAAACTGGGCATCAAGGGCCGCATTTGGCAGGATTGAGAGAGACAAGCTGATTCACCCAGCTCTGGTGAAAAGTTAGAAGTAAATATTTTACAAGAGTTTCTTTATAATGGGTAAACTTAGGGGTAATTCACTTGGCTGAGAATTTGCATGCAAATTGCTAAATTCAGGTACAAATGCTGGTGTATAACAACAAAAAAAACCTCTTCCACTTGGGTTATCTTCTAAAGACAGTCAAAAGAGGTTTATTGTCTTTTAATTGTGTAATTTATTTAATGCATGCAATTTTGATTCTGCTAATAAAAATGACCTTTGTTTCTATAAGAAATGCATAAATTCATTATTTGGTATCCCTCTAAAATATTTAAAAATGCAACTTTTAAATATTCAATGCCATTCAAGGGAGACTGTAATGACACTGCATTCTTAAATGCACAACATACCTATGGTGCCATTTGTATTTAATGTTGCTATTCGGGTTCCGGGATGGATCAGGGTGTAATTGATTATTATGGTGAGGTTAAAGGAACACTGTAGTGCTGTAATGTAATCTCTTTATTTAGAGTCAGCCTCACACACACACACACCTTTTGACGCTTTGATTTCAGAGATTTGCTCAAACACCGCCTACTTAGCACCCCATGTTCTCAAATTTTAAAACTATAGATAGCATTTATTTGTGCTGCTTTTGCATTGATGTATGCAGTAAAAATGATCATTTGTGCCACGTTGGTTTCAGAGATATTGCACATTAGCCAGATTGCACCCATGTAATTAAACTGTGAATAGAAATGGTCTATTTGTGCGGATTTGTGTCTTATAAAACAATATTTATGTAGTTTACACATATTTTAGGCCATGTTACCCCAATCCCCACCCAGTTTGCACCCCATGTAATCAATAGTAAATATTAATACTTCAGCTCCTTTTTTGCTGGTCTGTGCCAATTTGTGTGTGTTTTTTTTTTGTTTTGTTTTTTAGAGGTAAAGGGAAACCATTTATTACTATTGCACCAGAAAGTTTTATGTTTTTGTGGCAGTAAAGTGGTTAACATCACATCACTGAGGTTAATGAGGCATTGAGTGGGTTACCATTTAATACAGCATACACAAGTGACCACTTAGTAATTTGAAGTGGGAATGGTGCCAGGAGTCTGCATGTGCAGCATTTCACTATAAAATGCTCTTACAGAGTTTAAGAAATAGTATGAAAAGGGTAAGAGACTGGGAAAGGGGCAAAAAGACTCCCACATCCCGTCTCCTAACCAGAGAGGTTACCTAGACTGGGTAATAGGGGATAAACCAAATAATGCATCCTAACCAGAGAGGTTACCTAGACTGGGTAATAGGGGATAAACCAAATAATGCATCCTAACCAGAGAGGTTACCTAGACTGGGTAATAGGGGATAAACCAAATAATGCATCCTAACCAGAGAGGTTACCTAGACTGGGTAATAAGGGATAAACCAAATAATGCATCCTAACCAGAGAGGTTACCTAGACTGGGTAATAGGGGATAAACCAAATAATGCATCCTAACCAGAGAGGTTACCTAGACTGGGTAATAGGGGATAAACCAAATAATGCATCCTAACCAGATAGGTTACCTAGACTGGGTAATAGGATAAACCAAATAATGCATCCTAACCAGATAGGTTACCTAGACCAAATGGCATCCAAATAATGCATCCTAACCAGATAGGTTACCTAGACTGGGTAATGGGGGATAAACCAAATAATGCATCCTAACCAGAGAGGTTACCTAGACTGGGTAATGGGGGATAAACCAAATAATGCATCCTAACCAGAGAGGTTACCTAGACTGGGTAATAGGGGATAAACCAAATAATGCATCCTAACCAGAGAGGTTACCTAGACTGGGTAATAGGGGATAAACCAAATAATGCATCCTAACCAGAGAGGTTACCTAGACTGGGTAATAGGGGATAAACCAAATAATGCATCCTAACCAGAGAGGTTACCTAGACTGGGTAATAGGGGATAAACCAAATAATGCATCCTAACCAGAGAGGTTACCTAGACTGGGTAATAGGGGATAAACCAAATAATGCATCCTAACCAGAGAGGTTACCTAGACTGGGTAATAGGGGATAAACCAAATAATGCATCCTAACCAGATAGGTTACCTAGACTGGGTAATAGGGGATAAACCAAATAATGCATCCTAACCAGAGAGGTTACCTAGACTGGGTAATAGGGGATAAACCAAATAATGCATCCTAACCAGAGAGGTTACCTAGACTGGGTAATAGGGGATAAACCAAATAATGCATCCTAACCAGAGAGGTTACCTAGACTGGGTAATAGGGGATAAACCAAATAATGCATCCTAACCAGAGAGGTTACCTAGACTGGGTAATAAGGGATAAACCAAATAATGCATCCTAACCAGAGAGGTTACCTAGACTGGGTAATAGGGGATAAACCAAATAATGCATCCTAACCAGAGAGGTTACCTAGACTGGGTAATAGGGGATAAACCAAATAATGCATCCTAACCAGATAGGTTACCTAGACTGGGTAATAGGGGATAAACCAAATAATGCATCCTAACCAGATAGGTTACCTAGACTGGGTAATGGGGGATAAACCAAATAATGCATCCTAACCAGAGAGGTTACCTAGACTGGGTAATAGGGGATAAACCAAATAATGCATCCTAACCAGAGAGGTTACCTAGACTGGGTAATAGGGGATAAACCAAATAATGCATCAATATAGGACTCAATCCAAAGAGACCACTCTCATAGAAAGTTACCAATATGATTAAATCCCACTATTAGGCTTTGTTTAGCTATATCTCTGTTCATTTTCTTATAGACATGGATAGTATCTAGGTAGGTTTATGTAGCAACTGTTTTATGCTCTTTAGTCCTATTCGCTTTCTTTGTATCTATTTCCTTTTGATTAGTTTTGGTTTTGTTTCTGGATACCTTGTGTACTATTATACTTTAGGCATATACGTCCCCTATTATTTTTGCATTTTTACATTAGGATAGATTCTGTATATGTCTTCTCTCAGCATTTTTTAAGAGAGATTAATAAAGTTTTTGTTATTTTCTAAGACCTTTTTCAGATTGGACTGGGATTTAATCCTATTGGCCACTTTCTATTTTCTTACAGAGTTTAACCTCTATGCTGGTAGAGGTAACTCCACCAGCAGCATTAGAATGTTGTCAGCCAGCTGCCCAGAACTAGAGATGCGGGGTGGCTCATGTCAATTCTGTGCAAATGTATTTCTTCAGAATGTCAATCATTGAGGTAATGAATGGTGACGGCTGCAACTCTGCCAAAAGCCGGAAGTGTGTCACTTGATCACCAGGGAGCTTCCGAAGCTGTCTGGGACCCAGGGTAGGAGTCAAGCCATTGCCAAACGGTTTGTTCCATTAATCCTGGTGTCATAACCACTACAGTGCAAAACCCTACACATCCAGACTCCTGACACCATAACCACTTAGTGGTAATGGTGCTTGGAGTAATCCACTACAGGGACACTCCAGTAACCACAACAAACTCATCTAAGTGAAGTTGCTATGGTGCCTGAAGGCACTCTTGACCTGTCTGCGGCTTTTGACACTGTTGATCATCAACAGCTTCTTCTCATCCTCCGCAATATCGGTCTACAAGATACTGCTCTCTCCTGGTGCTCCTCCTACCTCTCCCAGCGCTCTTTCAGTGTTTCTTTCTCTGGCTCTGCTTCTTCTCCCCAACTCCTCTCTGTTGGTGTCCCCCAAGGTTCAGTTCTTGGTCCCCTACTGTTCTCCATCTATACTGCCTCCCTTGGTAAACTCATTAGCTCCTTTTGGCTTCCAATATCATTTCTATGCAGATGACACGCAAATCTACCTGTCCTCTCCTGATTTCTCCCCGTCCCTCTTGACTAGTGTCTCTAACTGCCTCTCTGCTGTTTCTAATTGGATGGCTGCCCACTTCCTTAAACTAAACTTGACCAATACTGAAATTCTAGTCTTTCCTCCCTCAAGTGTTGTTACTCCTGTGTCTGTCTCCCTCCAAGTCAACGGTGCTACCATCAGCTCCACCACGCAGGCTCGCTGCCTAGGTGTTCTCTTTGACTCCGACCTCTCCTTCAAGCCTAATGTTCAATCTATCACCAAATCCTGTCATTTCCATCTCAAAAACATTGCGCGTATCCGCCCCTACTTAACGCCAGATGCGACTAAGGTGTTGGTCCATTCCACTGTCGTTTCTCGCCTTGACTACTGTAATCCGTCTCTCAGTGGTCTTACGTGATCCCAACTTGCGCCGTTACAGTCCATAATGAATGTGGCAGCGAGGCTCATCTTCCTGTCCACCCGCACCTCCCATGCCTCACCCTTCTGTCAGTCCCCTCCTCCGTTAGATGCTCACCCAGTCTCCACTCTTTAAAAAAATCGTTAAAAACCCACTTCTTCATAAAAGCGTATCAATTAAACTGTTAATAGCTCCTGACTGATTCCTCTTCTGCAACTGTCACTAGTCTAATACTATCCTTACCTTTTTGTGTCATTTTACCCCACTCCCTCTAGCATGTAAGCTCATTGAGCAGGGCCCTCAGCCCCTCTGTTCCTGTGTGTCCAACTTGTCTGGTTACAACTACATGTCTGTTCGTCCACTCATTGTAA